AGTAGTTGGATTCTCGGTCTGTCGCTAGAAGACGCAGTCCTGTCGGGTGCACAGGAGGTGGAACAGCAACCAGCCCGAATCGGCCAGAACAGGTGTCCTGAGGATGTCCGTCTACAAGCTGAGTGTTTTCTGAGCGTGATGTCTGAGGCGTGTTGGTGTCGCTGATCTAGCATGGCGGCTTGCACAGCTTTCCGTATCGATTCAAAGTCATGAGCAGGAGCCTGCTGATGATGATCATTTACGCTGAAAATTGTCTAAGCTCTGGCGGTGACGACGAATCTGGATCGATAGGCCTGAAGCAGGTGGCCCAATGTTCCAGAGGCATGTTGTTCCCAAAAGATGGTTGGATCCTTCGTCAGTAGTGACTTTCTTGCTATGCCCTTTCGCTTTACAGGGCGCTGTGTGTATGCTTGTGCGAAACGTTGGTTCGATTTCACTCGGCGCAAGCGAGAGTTTCCACACTTCCAGGCTGGATGCTATCTCAAATCGAATCAAAAAGCGAATTATTCCCTCCACGATTGAAAAAGCGCGTCTTGATGCGGGCCTCGCAAGGATCTGTACCGATCTCGAAGTATGTTCGCAAGCCACACTCCCGAAGTCAAAGCCCTCCGTTCTGGCTCAGTGTACTATATGTCGACAGGTACACCGGTACATGATGTCGTCATGTAGCCGGACTTCTAAGCTCTCGCCCTGCTTTTCCTGCGAGCCACGACGAGGAGCGTGAAAAGATGGCCGCGCCGAAGGACGACCAAGGCGCTGTCAACTTTTGCTGGCAAAAGTCAACTAGGAAAGAATACTCCTGTTCCATGCCTTTACTACGACTGTAATACGTTCGCAGGATAACCAACCGATAGACGGATACTTACACAACCACATCATGTTTTGGTCTCACGGGAGCCTCGGTGTACAGATTGAGTTTGGTCTAGCCCTACCGGACTGGAGGTGCGTGCAATCTGCAGAGTTTGGGGGATAATCTAGAACTTTGGAAACACAATGCTCCGAACGCGCACCAATTTTCTAGACCCAGCCCCGTGCATGCTTGTGGACTTAGCTCGGACATGATTCCATATCCTTATAGCCTTATACCACATATCACGCCTGCAATTACATATGTACAGTACGAAGAACTAGGTAAGTACATGCGTACATACAGGCATACAAACATCAAACAGACATACGTCGAACTCATATGAATGCATGCACATACCTGCATACATGCATACATCATGCATTCTTCTAGTCTATAAAGACTAACTAGTCTGTATGCAATACCAGATGCACATGTTACTACCCTTACTAGTAAGAACTAGTCTTATGCTAATCATACATTTAGCTAACATGCAACACCTATACATACATATATATATATATATACATATACACATATCTATATACATACACACTTGTAAATGTATTTCCTATACATAGCATAGAGCATTAAATGTACATAAAACCAGATGCAAAAGCATTGTGTATGTGTATGTACATATACATATGCAGATGCACACATACCCGTACACATACATGCATACATACACCTAATCCTGCGTACTTGTTGACCGTGCGCATAATACGACTACAGGCAGGGGTGGTTCAGCAAGCTTCGCTTTTGAAGCCCCAGGTTCTAAGGCTCGAGTCTTGAGAAGCAGCGAAGTTCAGGTCTTCAGAAGCGTCAGAGCAGCTCCGAATTTGAGGTTTTTTCATAGGCCTCGGCGAAGCTCGAGTCTTCAGAAGGGTCAGCGAAACCGAGAAGCTCGAATCTTCTTAAGCGTCAGCGAAGCTCTTGAAGCTCAAGTCTTCACGAGGGCCAGCGAGGCTGCGAAGTTCGAGTCTGGTCGTGTTTGACAAGCGCCAGCCCCCATGACCTAAACATTAGACCCTCCACCCCTGAGCCCGAAGTATGATCATGTTTCTCCTGCCCACAAGCCCTGCGCTCGAGCCTGCCCTGTCCCATCCGTCCTTTATTACAAATGCTGCAAAAGTCCACCCGGTGCAATTCATGTGGGTTTCGAAGACACAACTTAGGGTTGAGGGTTAAATGGTCGAGTCTGTAGCCTTCAATCTTGCATGGGTGGCGTGATGCGTGTCTATCTCCAAAGATTGACTAACTTCGCTTTCATGTCGAAAGTTCCCACTGCACCACACCACCCCCATCCCTAGTGACCTAGTGGATCTCAGATATTGCCTGGACCCGGTAAAAACTCCCAAAAGGCCCCAAACCCTCAAAGGTGTGACATCAGCACAAGTAGGATTGCTAGTGCCCCTTCTGTTTCACGCACATGCTAGGCCTGGTATATAGTATCGAAAATCAGGTGCGGCAGTCAGAAGTTCACCATCTACAGAGTGGCAAGACCAACAACGGCTCCTACAAGCAAAAGGGACGCTCCAGCATCAGAAGCCTTGGTAAGAAGGACGCCAAAGGCTCGAACATCGGACAACCCGGCGCTGTTGGCGTGGCTGCATATGGCTGCATGCAGGCCATGCGTGCCAACGTTGCGATCGAGCCTGGCAAGTCGGCAACATGGTGTTTCTATTTCTGTCCACGGCTGCGTTCGCGAGCAGATTTCGGCCGACAGCAGCGTATGACCGACGGCCTCCGAACGCTTGCCTCGGACAGAGGCCGAGGCTCCGTGGCGGCACTTCTATCCGATCGCAGTCGCATGCGAGAGCTTCTGAGCTTCAGAGCTTCAAAGCGAATCTTCAGAAGCCTTTGGTGAAGCAAATGGGGTGCGCCTTTGTAATACTATACATGTGCATCGAAAATTCTCTCTCTCTCTCTCTCTCGTATATGAATGTATGTATGTATGGATGGATGGATGGATGGATGGATGGACGTATGCACACATGATAGAGCGGCTGCGAACACATGAAACCAAACGTTGGAGTCCACATACACAAACGGACAGGTTCGCGGTTTGGCAGACTTGGGCTTTCTCACTGCGTCGGCTTTGCAGAATCTGGGGTTCCGGAGTAAAAGGTCCTGGGTTTCCGTTACATGTATTAGCACCATGGGAGTTTTCCTATCGTGCCAAAGTCCAACATCCCGCCAGAACCGCAGACTTTAAAGCGTAAATCCCACACTTTGAACGACAGCAGGCATCACCGTGGCGCAGCTTTTGCGAAACTTGGGCCGAACTCGCAATTTGGAGGACGAGGAACCGAAAGACAAGGTAGGCCAGGGCCGAGTTTAGGGTTTCCAGCCTGAAAGCCGTAGGGCTGAAAGGGCGTGGAGTTCAGGGTCTAGGATAAAGAGTTTAATTCCAGAAGGGCAGCTTCAGAATTGAAAGTTTGGCCGTTAGAGTGTGTTTTCATTTGATTGAGGTTTCCGATTTCGTTTTTTTGAACCGTGGCTTTGTTCACTTCCCTGGATTGCTTGTTTCGCTTAGTTTCGAAAGCTTTCGAATGTTTGGATTCGTTTCCGGGACAGGCCTCCGCCCCTGCGTCCTCCCCATTACGGCAGTGGAAGAGCTGTGGCAGTTTTCCAATGAAGTTTGTTTGGTTCTCAAAGTCTATTTAAATTGCCCAGATCAATTTCAAAAGAAAAACTTCAATTTGTCGGGGATCCATGGGCCGGAATCCAGATTTTCGGGGGTCTGCGGGCCGCCGCCCACCACCAAGAACAGAAAAAACATGCAAGATCCGAATAAAATTCAACGACTAGCCGAACCTCCATCATGAAGAACCGGGTAGGGAAGATAAGCATACAGCTCCGTGTCAGACTTTGAATCACACAGAGTCCAAAAACAAGCAAACATCCAATCGTTTACATGTTTCTCAGATGTACCAGGCAAGTGAAGTCTTAAGTCTATAGGCTGTGGAGGGAATTGCCCTGCAGGGCGTCAGTGCACCTGAAGCGCTCAACCGCAGGGTTCTTGTGTTTGTACTGGTAGGGTCTGTTAGGGCCTGATGGGTTGAAGGTTCGAGGCTTCCTAGGTGATCGACTGGAACGAAGGTAGCCGAGCATTTGGCCAAAGAGTTCAGGGCTCTCTCTACGGTTGAGGGGTCGAGGGGTTTCAGAATTGTTGGGCGCTTTGAAGGTTTGGGGGTCTCGTCGATCTACGGTTTGTGGGGACCCCGGCGCTTACGTCGGACAGACCAGATTTTGGGAATCTACACAAAGATATTTTGCAGAGTGAACAATTTTCCTTTGAGACCTAGCCGTCCCAGCCCTCTGCTTCACATGATCCCGTGGAAGCTTTTCACCCTTGACTCCATCCTGCAATCAGCAACGCAGGTATCGAAGGCACTCATTATTGTGCAACCAAAACCAGTATCCGCAAAGTGCTGCTCCAGATGACATGTTCATCGCTGATTCGTGGCTGACAGGGCACCACGCTCGTGAACATGATGCTACAGGCAGGTATCTTGCATTTTCAGTCTGTCTGATCCCCGCTCCCCCGGCACGATGTATGCCATGCTGGACTTGGCCCTCCCCCGGCCCCTTGGCGGCTCTGGTGCCGCCAGGTATCAAAAGCCCAGAAACTCAAACGCGACGCACTTCTGGGCTTGGGGTTCGCATATCGCATTTGGGGTTGCTCCCAATCAAAGCTTTTTGTGCTCGCAGGCGTTGTGCTTAAGCGGCATGAGGATACATGAGGATACCATGGATACCAGAGAAAGGCAGTGCTAGGGCACAGTGTTAGTTGTACGATCTTGCATCCACCTCCACTTGTTCATGCTTTAATGATTCAGGGCTTGGGAATCCAAAGTGTCATGTTTGGCCTAGTGTGATAAGGTGGCAGCAAGAAGACAGGCCGAGTGTCCAACCCTTTTGAGTGCATAACACAACATACCTTTCCACAGACGTCTTGCAACTCTGCACGTCCTTCTATTGGGCCTAAAAAACCGTCACTCGCCATAGTTTCGTCTTTTTCTTGCCTGTTCCGCAGCCTTTTGTGCCCGTCTCCGGGAGCCATGCCGCTGAACTTCGGACCCACTCTCGACGGTGATATCAAGGCAGGCCTTTGGGTGTAAAGGTCTGGTCTTCGGTTTCGGGCAGACGGCTTGTGGCTTTGGGTTTCATGATGTTTATCATTATGTTTTTCGCTCTTTGGCTCTTTCGGGGTTAAGCCTCGGGCAGCAGCTGAAGCGGCTGTGTTAAATGAGTGTTGGACAGTTCCGAGGGCTTGTGGCGAACTCTTGAAACCCTAGTCGCTCGAAACCCTGCCGGTCTTTGAGACTCGAATTAGCCGGGCTTCTGTGGCACTGTTTCGGTGTGGATGCCGAGGTTCTGTGGAAGTCGGGTTCGGTTGACGGCTCAGGGTTTGAGATCGACGGGTCAAGGGCTTAGGTAAGCCTGCTTGAGGGATCGCGTGAACGGCAAGAGGATCCATGAATCGGGACATCCATAGAACCTAAGCGCTTCGACCCGAAGCCCTAAACTTGCAACCCTAGCCTTGCCGTCAACAAACCCAAAACTCTAAGCCCGAAGCCTCGGGCCTCAAGCCCTCAGAAGCCCTGAACGCCGACTGAAGCAGGCCGTCCTCCTGGACGCGGACCGGGTGGCACATCGAGTCAAGGCGGCTCTACAGCAACGGGGTGTTGAGGTTGCTGACTTTCACCAGAGGATTTGGTGTGTCTTCCTTTGGTACTTTTGTCGGGCTTGGGTTTTGAGAGTTTTCAATGTCCAGGGATTCGAATTTAAGTGTGAGGGTTAGAAATTGAACATTTTGTTCTCGCGCTCGCAGCAGCGACATCACCTCCTCCTCTGTGGGCTTTTTTGTTTGCACCACAACCGTCGCCACGACGCATCCCCAGTTACAATGATAGCTGAGAAAGTCATAACAGCAGCGGTGGAAGTAGTGATAGAATACTCCAAAGTTCAAAGGTATGGGAAGTGCAATGGCAGTCATGGTTCAACTTGACACTTAGTTGTAGGAGCTGGGTGCGGAGATCTCGCGCGACTATGTCGACAAGGCCCGTTCACCCTGCAGCAGTGGGCAACCGGTGAGGGCCTAAACTTCGCCAGACCCACCCTGATATATGATGCAGTCTCGGAGCTTCAGCGACGAGTCGAGTTAGTGATGTTATATGCATGCTTACATCTACATCATGTATGCGTATACATACACATATTTAACTATACACGCATCCATCCATCCATCCATCTATTCGTCCATCTATCCGTCCATCCATCTATCCATCTATCCATCCATCCATCCATCCATCTATCCATCTATCCATCTATCCATCAATCTCTCTATCTATCCATGTATCCATCCATCTATCTATCTACCTATCCATCCATCCATCTATCTATCTATCTGTCTATCTATCAGTCTATCTATCTACACATGTACCTACATGTATATTCTTTGTTTATACATATATACTTCACATGGGTTATGCTTTCTTCATCAGCATCAAGCTTCGGTGAGAGGGCATAGCTAGGGACCCGAAAGCCTAAAGATCGGACCCGAAGCCTTAGGCCGAAGACTTGGACCGAAGGTTTACCGCGGAGAGACTCGGGTTGAGGTTGGAGCTGAGAGGTTAAGATGTCAGACGGTTTCGGATTTGCAGACGAACCTTAAGTTCCGTGGGTGACATCCTGAACTTCCATGACCGTCTTAGTCTTGAGCTGTTCCGCAACTAAACGACGTGCCCGAGGACTCTTGCGCCCTGCGCTCTATGGTTGTTGTCGCTGAACTCCACCCAGCCCAGCTCACCACATGAAGCCTGGTCCATGAAGTCCATGAGCATATCCTCCTGTCTGTTCCCAACTCCGGCATTCGGTGGCATGCCGGGTTCCTTCGCATGATGATGATGGTGGCGATGATGGTGATGACGATGGTGATGACGATGACGATGGTGATGATGGTGATGATGACGCCGATGATGGCGATGGGTGGTGATGTTGTTGATGATGGCGCTGAGGATTGACGATGATGATATAGCACCAATTATATACATGTATCTGGGCATGTGTTTCTGGTGAACGGCGACATCCTCAGAGGATTGAAGGAACCTGAGTCTGAACTTATTGATCCCGTGCTCTCAACCCATCTCATGAAGCCTTTAAGAACGCATTGTCTGAAATGTCCTGCAACTCCTACAAAACTGCGAAGTTTAGGGTGGTCGTTTGAGAAGCACAGAAACACTGACAAATACCCTTAGTAAGTCAACATTTTAATCAATCCCCCCTTGCCTTCTGAACTTGCCGGGAGCAAGCCCTTCGGGAAACTACAGAAGCGCATACCGTCAGCGAACATCAGACCCCCTTGCTGGTGGGTGTGCTGAACGGGGCTATGGTGTTCATGGCCGCAGCCTGGCGGAAGGAGCTTCTTTCGTAGACTGGTGCCTTTGGGTCGAAAGAACGAAGGACTCAGGGCCGAAGCTTAGGGTTGGGCCTGAGGGCTCTCTGAATGTTTGGTGAAGCTTCTTTCGGCGAAGTCTGTTGGCCTGTTCAGAGGTTCAACTGGCATTAACAGATTCGTGGTTGACGCAGAATTCAGGATCTGGCAGTTTGCGTGTCTAGATCTGCAGTCGAAGTCTCTGTTGCCGGTTATGGGTTATGGTATTCCCCGAGACTAGCAGCTTTCTTTACCTGAAGTTCAGGATGGCTCGTGTGCAGCCGGGTGTCAGCAAGCCTGTTAGTATTACGAGCCCCGCTGCCAGTTCCCGGCTTCAAGGTGTAGGTCTCAGGGCAGCGAAGGATCATCCTGAAGACGGCATCCTCTGAGCCAAGGCAAAGACATGGGTCCTCTAAGTTGTCGTATTTTTGAGGTGCAGTTCGTGAAAGGATGTGATTGTCTTCTAAGTGTCAAGATCCGAAGCAGCAGCCCAGAACAAGCAGAAGCTTTGGCTGCGGAGGGTTTTCCGATGTTGGGGTCAGAGGGCCTTGAATTTCCCCAAATGCTCAACCGTTACCTGGGGTTCCACATTCGAAGCATCAAGGATCTGATCCGCCAGATCAACGTCCCCATGGAGATTTGCTCTCTAGCCGCGCCTGGGCGTGTTGGCGATGGTGGTCAGCAGGAATTCAAACTAGGCTTACTTTTTTTGCGAAGCATACTTTTGCCAGCTGTTCGCTTGCGGGTCTCAAGAACGAGAGGACATCTTCGTAGGGCAGTGAAGCCTTTTCTGCCAAACCATCAAAATCCTATGCTGCCAGCCCTGGAACCGAAAGCCCGCAGCCCCCAAATCCCCCATGCTAAGCCCTAAACTTCGTCAACTGCGAGGTCAGCTCGTATGGCAAAAGCTGCACGGCCTGAAGTATCATGATTTTGAGGATCGTGGTTAGTTAGGGGAAAGTATTCGCAAGTGCTTGTATCGTTCCTTCCAGTATTATCCAGGTATAACACCGATAGGCTGATGGCGAATGAGGTGTTCAGGTTTCAGGCATGCAGTTTCTGATCAATGTATGCTTTTTCGCCGGGCGTTTGTTCGAAATTCGGGTCTTTTGCGGGCCAACCTCAACTTGGCGCGTTTGTGACAGAATCTTTTGTAGCCGGCTTGCAACCTCCGTGGACACCTCAAATCCGTTCCAGACAACCCCGATGCCCAGAGAGGCCCTCACAAAAAAAGAGAGGCCCTGACGCACGGGGGAGTTCTAGCCAGCAAAGCTGCTACTTGCCACTTTTCAACAGTGCAGCTGATGAGTGGTGATCATCAGGTCTATAAGTCATGAAACTAAAAGAATCCAAGCAGGCTCCGAAACTCCTTCAAAACCGCACAGAACAAGAAAAAGCCTTGCAAAGCTTTCATCAAACCTCATAGTAAAAACCCTTGTCCTGCCAGAAGACCCCGCGTGCATTGGACACCAAAACACTGCAACCATTCAGCCAGGATCTACTTCTGGTGACTTGAGCTTCCTCAAAGACGTGAACCAGGACGTGAAGGCAGCATGAACTGGGGGAGGGGTTGGTGTTCGAAATTGGGTGGTGGCAGTTGTTGTTGGCCGTGGGATCCTGTTCCCGAACCGTCGGCATCCAGCTACTGTTGTCGCAATGCCTGTGTAGAGCATTGGACGACATTACTAGGAGAGCGTTCGCGGTTACAAAGCACTGCAGGTCCCAGTCTCTTTCAACGAATGCTTTAGGCTGCAGAGTTCTGGGTGCACAGGATCTAGGGATGCCGGTGATGTTGTCTTTCGTGCTTTTTGGGGCGAGACTTTCTGCCCTTGCCTGCTGTCATGCGTCAGCTTCAAGCGCAGTTTTTTTCGCACCTTTTGCATGTCCGGGCCGCGATCCGAAGCAAGGGCCTCCTTTGGGGCATGGGGATACGCAAGGGGGGCTGACGGTTAAAACCTGCTTGAAGCCCTCAGGACCCTGGCATGTGTGCGTATGTGTGTCTTTCTGGGTGCATGTCTGTTGCCTGTTGGTCTCTGCCAGATCTGAAGATCATACCTGAAGGCTTCCGGTAGCAATGCCGTCGCATAGAGGTGAAAGGGCTGGCAGGGTGTATGTGCGTTTGAAGCACTTTAATCCCAAGAGAGTGCTCCAAGGTTGACGTGACGGACGCAGTTTCCTAGCCTTCACTTCCTGTGCAAAGGGGAAGCACGTCATCTTCGTGGAGGATCCCTGCGTGCCGCCTGAGGGTTCTTCGTTTAACAGACGTGGCAAGCCCCTAAATAGCCGCTGCCCTGCCCGAGAAGAAGGGGGCCAGTTGAGGGCGTGGGATTTCGGTGCTGGATGCCACGTAGCCTTTTGGGACGCTTCTCTGTTCATGCGCTTCTGGGTCTTGTCTGCAATCCGCACCATTTTCATCTTGCGGAGAGACCTGGGACACGCTCAGGCATCCACTACCAACATAAGGTTTGCATGGCGTTCTGGGCATGTACTGAACCCCTACAGTTGCCATGGCACAAGGCCAGCATCCCTTCCTTATTGGCACCGTCACCAGCCACTTCCTCCGAGCCCTCAAACCCGAGCGCCTCAACCACCCCCTGAATCCCAACTTGGCAGCCTGCGCCTGAGTGCAGTGAGCCAGTATGCCATCACGGATACCTGCAAATAAGCTCAGTCCTTGCTCTCAACTCAGAATGAAGAAGCCCTAAGAACTGCATGTGCTTACACATCTCTGCCTGCCATACCGACCCCGAGAACCTTTTCGGAAAGGTGAATCCTGAATCCTTGCCCTGGACTGGTTGACTTGCTGCTACCTCCCGGGTGCATCAGGACATCGTCGACACCGGAAAGACGACGCTTGGGCTCGCATGCGAGTTTGGCACTCTTTGCCCTTTCATTTTTGGAGTGTCCGGGTTGCAGAGTTGTTCCCGAAAGTCTTGTTCGCCTCTGTGCCTCCATGCCTTCAGCCCGAAAGCCCTATAAGTCGGGGAATCCTCAAAATTGGTCCGTTAACCCCGAAATCCTATATCGTTGAAAGAGCCGAATCAGGCTAAAAGCCATCTGCGACCTTTTTGAGAAGCGCGGTGCCGCGTCGATGCCGGGCAGCAGGTTTTCTTGGGTTCCAGGTCTTGGGCTGCAGGATGTAGGTTGCTGCCGGTCTCGGGTTTAGGGACATGGGGGCTTTGGTGTCGGTCTCAATAATGCGCTCCCTTGCCATGATTCTTGGCACTCGCCTTTTTCTTTACTTCAGGAATTCCGGCAGTCAGGTCGCGGTTAGTTCATGCCAAGAGCCAATTCTGGGCTGCCCCTTTTGGGTTCTTGCGCGTTGCGGTGTCCAGGATGCTGCCAAGCCTATCTCCGCAACGTCATACCCCAGCCCCAAACGTGTTGGCAACGGCTTCCAGGCAAGGCTATGAGTACTGCACCCAGGGTAGTCAATACTTTTTTCGGCATAGCCAAAGACAGTGTGTGCTAACGGCGCACTGCCAGTTGAAGAATTTGTCTCTAGAACAAAAGTAGCGGCGATAGGGGTGAGAAAGGGATAATGCCAACAGCCAGTGCCAGCAACATACGGTCACTAAAGTCCTAGCAAGAGTATTCACCAGCATCACCATCATAATCATAGAATATTGTTGACATGTGCGTAGGGACCAAAAGCGGTAACACTCACGATGCCAGTGACAATGATACTCACGGCACCAGCAATGACAAATATTACCTTCAAAACTCATGGTCCCGGCAACAGCAGTATCTATATTGATTGCAGCAACAACAACACCAACAGGGATGCTTTTCGTCGCAGCATTCATTGATCATCACAGTAGAGTGCCACTAACAGGAAGGACAACACTACGATTGGAAGCACTTCTGCAATTGAAATTAACTTGCGTGGAGCGAGAAGCATTATCGCAACCAAGTAATCCCAAATGCAGGAGACAGGCAGAAGAACTCGTTGTAGTCGTCCGGCTGCTGGTGTAGCAATGTAGGCAGTTGTTAGGTTCCGCAAACGTAATGCTCAATCACAGCATCAGCAGCATTTATAGCACCTGCGTAGCGTCAGCAGTAAAGAGGACACGCACTATCGTTCCAAGGATCTCGATTTGCACGCTTCTCGATAAGAAGGCCCGTTCATTCTCTGTAGCAATAGTCTTCGCAGTCACTTCTTCAGTACATGCAGTTTCTGCAGCAGTCCTTGGTAGTTCACAGGGCTTAGGGCTTGGGTGCTTGGCTGTTGAGTCCTCTTCAGTCTTCCCTGGAGCTGAAAGCTACGGCATTTGCACGGCCTGCAACCGCAACACCATCAACTGCGACTCAACTACAAGTCTAAGTCCTAGGGTCTAAACCGAAACAGGGAATCCAAAGGGCCCACTTGTCCCATGACCTGTGCAGCACTCTGTGAGGTCGGAAAAAGCAAGGAATGCACTCGAAGTCACGCAGGAGTTAGGGCTGTCGGGTTCATGCTTTGGCCTAGGCCTTCGAGCTTACAGGGCTCCGGGCATGCCAGGGAAGTTCCAGAGTCCAGAGGGTTCTTGTGTTGAAAAGCTGCCCTGAAAAGTCGACTTCTGCAGCGTCACCGCACTGGCGCCACGGGCGCCCTCGTCTGATCCTCTTCCGCCCATATGAATATGAGCATTAGGTCTACACGAACCACCCTGTGTAAACCCCGAAAGCTCGTCAATGCTGCAAGGCCAGGCGGGAAGTCGACGGGCTGGAGATGCGTTACATTGGCTTCGAATGCCACTTAGCGGCCTCAGGCTTTATGGTTCAGGATTTAGGGTCCGAGGGCTGTTGGGTTTCAGCGGATTCAGGGTTCGTCGGTCTTGGCGGGTCTCAGTAAAGAGGTAGAACCTGAGTGTAATGAGACTCAGGGTTTAAGGCTGAAGGTCCGGGCCTTTGTGGGGCGCCGGAGATTCGGACTGGACTGGGTTTTTGCGGCAAGGGAGTTTCGGGTTCCCCTTTTCTTCTCAGGCCTGTGTGCCTGGGGGGAGCACCGACGACGGACTTCCCAAGCTAGAGCCCCAAAGCCGTTTCAAAAAGCCGCAAAGACTAACACCCATAAAACCCTGGAGCCCAAAACTGAACCCTACGCTCCCATCCCCAGCTCATGGATCTCCGCAGCTGCGTTCTTTGTTTTAGTTCCCGGGGTTTTGACCGGGGAAGTGCTGCCTGGTCCGAGGTCCCAATGTCGCGGAGCTGCATCAATGTGAACCCTTCTTTTTCAGGGAGGCTTCAGGGTATGACGTTTGAGGGTTTCTGGCATTCCGGCTCGTAGGTATCATGATCGGCTTGCAGCTTTGGGGTTGCCCGCGCGGCGAGACAGTCTTACCCATGAATCAGCCAGTTGGGCTTCCGGTAGGATCCTCAAAAAGAGTTTAGCTACTTTCAAGTAGTAATGCATTGCGCAACGCTTGCCTTCTTTCTGGTTCTTCTTCCTGTATTTGTGTCCATTCCCCGCATGATCATGTCCCATGTCCTTCCAAAGCCCTACCGCCACCGCTGTTGGCCCTTGAGGTGGTCCTGGGGTCCCGTGAGATCTGCCCTGAGCCCCAATGTAATCCCAAGCTCCAGCGCCGCAGCCCTGAGCCCCAATCTGGCCTCGAAGATCAAGCACCCGAGGTTCGGGCCTGAAGTGTTTGGCTTGCCCTGGTTTTGTGGTCTATTGGGTTTAGGGTTTTAGGACTTTAGTTTTAGGGTTTCGGGTTTCTCAGGGTTGGTTTAGTAGGGTTTAGGGTTTAGGGTGTAGGGAAGCTTCAGCCAAGGAAGACATGTTTATATCTTCTGTCACAGTCCCTCCCATTGCCTATGTACTTGCGCTATGGCTTGCCCGGAAACCCTTATCCTAAGCCCTGCACCCAAATCCAAGCCAACGAAGCCAGAAGGCCCAAAACCCAGGAACCCAAACCCGAAGCCCTCCTCGGGACCCCCGGCCGCTGCGAAATCAGGAGTTCATCGTAGGCCAGGACCGGGGGGAGGGGTCCTAGACCTGCGACCATCAGACGGCCTTGGAATCGGGTAGACTTCCGGGGCCCTATAAACCCCAAACCCTTCAGGGCTTCAGGGTTTCGTAGTGTGGCAGCTGTTCTTATGTTTTGGCGCTTTCGGTTCCTTTAAAACCGCGAGCTCACGAGCTGCATGGCGTGACTCCTGGAACATTCAAGGGTTTGGAGTTTGAACCTGCTGCTTGCAGATAGCACAGGTATGGGAAATCCTGGTGCAGGGGTTAGGACAAGCTCTTGTAAGCTGAAAGTGGTTTGGTCGTGCCTTGAGGTGAACTCTTGTTTTGATGGGGAAGTGAACAGTTATCCTGGGGTTTGAAACTAGCTTGAAAATGCAGGAACCAGTTTGAAACTTGAAAAAACATGGTATTTCCTGCTATCGGCGAATTCGTTTGGTGGGGAAATGAACACTTACCATGGGGGTAAGACGGTAACAGAGGAAAGCTGCATGTGGGACTTGTGGAGACGCTCAGCAAAAGCTAGGCGGAAGCATGACAAGCAGAAGTGTGACCAGTCCGGACTCTGACCTGCAACTGTTCGGAGACTCAAAACTCTTCGTCTCCAGCCACCATCCCTTGTTCCCCCAAGGGGCGCCGACCTGGAGAAAAACCCTTGAACCCTCACCGCTCTGAACCCTACACCCTACCGCCGCCGCGACCGCCTGGCAGGCTACGGAATCGATTATGCCGAGCGCTACCGCAATCTGCCCTACATTGCAGCACTCAAGCCTTCCGTCTACGAGTGAACGGCCCGTGTGGGCTTCGGGGGATTCAGAGCTTTTCCACGAGGTCTTTCCACAGAGAATTGGGATGTGGCTTTGACCACAAGTTTAGGGATTCATTGGTTTGGGGGTCCAATGGCAGCGAGGGTTGGGGTTTCAGGATCCTGAGCTTGAAACTTTGAAACTAACAAGCCTTTGAAGATGCTACTAGTAGTTTGGGCTTTGGTCTTTCGGCGTTTAGGTGGAGCTCACGGCTTGGGGTCTAGACAGAGGGAGGTCAAGCGCTAGAAGGTTTGAGGTTTAGGCTTTCGCAGCAAAAGGCTGGTCGAAGAAGTTCAGATGACTCCAAGCATCACTTTTCAATTTCAAGCCTGGATCCCCCGCGCCAGGACCGGAGTAACTCACAGCTTCAGATCCTCGACATCACCCAACACCCTGCGCCTGAGAAACCCCAGACCCTGAAACAGAGTCTTCTGCAAGAAGCCAGGCTAAAACTTACTGCGGTCTTTACATCACATCTTTTGCTCTTCTGGGGCGGCCCCTTACTTGGAGGATCGGCAGCAAGCAAGAAAAGCTGATAGTTGCCAATCGTTCTGCGCCGACTTGCAGCCCTAAGCCCTCGGCCCCAGTATGACACCCTCAGCTCGAAACCCCGAAAACGCTGCAAAAAAAACCTAGCCGCAAAATGCTTGTGATAGAACCCTGATGGATTCCTTAGAGAGACCTTACAGTCTCCAATCCTTCAGAAAACCCCCTGTAGCACCCTTAAGCCGATCCTCCAAGCAGGCCGACCGCAACCTGATAAAATAGCTTTTGTATCCCTGCAGTCGTTTCTCAGAGTCACTGACTTGTCACGCTGAGCGAAGGGTTTTTGCCTGGGCGAGTTGGGGTTTCAGGCCTGGGGCTTCAAGGGTAGAAGTTCGGGCGATTCAATGCTTGGTAGTACTTTTCCCTGACAACCCCCCTCAGACTGGAAAAGCAAACCGAATCCCCGAGCTGCTCCGAGCGGGACAAGGAAGCACTGCTTCTGGACTTCTGGGAAGCTCTTATGCATTCTTACGCCGTGCACGTGCGAAAAAGGGATGATGACTTCGGCTCCGGCAGTGAGCTTACGATTGAAGAGACCTCTGAAGTTCGAGCCCCGTCGAGTCCTTCGATTCGGTTGTAGCGGTAGCTTTCGGCATCGACGAAGGCGGCGAAGGCGCAGAAAGCGAAGGAGGCGATGCTGGGACTGGGAATTTCGGGTCTCTGTCGGCCTGTAGGGGAAAGCCGTGACAAGCTGTACATCATGACGGTGCTGGTATCATTGCGAGGGTGACTGATGGTGATGTTGATATTGACGGTGATGCTGCGGTTGCCGCTGTTGATGACTACGACCCATTGCGATTAACATGCATGGACCACATGGACTGTTGTGTTTAAATTTGTGGGATGGCCAAAGGGGTGTGACTCACACTTGGCAGAAGAGAAGAGTGGGGAGGGCGGGCAATTGAAATGAAGTTGCTTGCTGCTCTCTTCACTGGAGCTCGCGAGGACGGCATGGTTGCATTCCTCGGTACGGCATCGGCTGTTCGACTCTGGTGTTGAATCCGTCTGCTTACTTGACACTCTGCGAATGGCTGTCTTACCAGGAGGATTCGGTGCAATCTTCGGCTTTTCAAGATCCTGGCACTAGCAGGATCCGAGTAAATACATCAACCCCCGAAGCTGTGATACATACATGCATACATGCACATAATGCACTCGCATACATAGGTACTTCTCGTTGCCGGGTCGCCGAATCCTAGGCGCCCTTGGGCACCTGAGCCTAAAGCTTGTGTAACATGTACCCTGCGCTGCAGGCAGTGGCAGTGGAAGCACCACCCAAGGATCGGGAGGACGTCATTCTGCCTTTTTTCTCTCCTGGTTTAGGGGAAAGCGCCGTGGAGTTTCGGGCTTGGATTTTGAGCCAACTACTTCAGCCCTGGGCTTCACGCCCTTACTTAGCGGTTGCTAGATATCTTCTTGCGGAGTCTTGTTTAAACTGGCTCTACTTGCTTTTGCTTTGGGCTCCAAGCCCTGCGCCCCGGAACCGTAAGACTTTGAGGCCCGCTATCCCAGAATCCGAACATCTGAGCCGGGAAGGCTTCAACCCTGCGTAGGCCCATGCGGTCTCAAACCCTAGAGCCCTTTGAGCCTCTTGCATTTCTACAATGAACAGCCCTAAACCACCACCCAATGGACCCCAAACTTGGAAGCCCTTTGGTAAGTAGACCCAAAGGTGCGGTTACAGCAGGTTTCGGGAACCCAGAAGTCCCGCAACGCTGAAGCTGCTGTTTTGCAGGAGGAGGTCGTTGGCGATGATGTTGAGCCTTCCGAGGTCGGGAGTTTAAGGGTTTAGGCTTTAGGGTTTCAGGTACCGTTCATTGGTGGAAAGTTTTGCTGCATTGCAGACAGCACCAATGCTCAGAAATCATGTTGTCGTATAGTACAGTTCCTCGGCAGAATTCTGCCACAGAGCCCCATGCCTCAGGCATACTGGCAGTGAAAAGGAGCGCCCCACTCACCGGAATGCAGCATCCCCAAGCCCAAACTGTAGGCCGAGAGTCCGTATGTGTGGATTGTCCGGAAGCCCAGGCCCCAACACCTTGAGCACTGCGCCCCAAACCGCCACGTAGTCCCATACACCCTGAAGCCAGCCCTGAACCAGATGAATCGTGATGCAGCAGGCCTGATTTGGCCTATGGCCTAAAGCCTACCAGCTTTGAGTGAGGCAGCACCTTCGCGCAGTGTCACCCCGCGATCGAGCCGGCCTCCAGCCACCATGCAACTTTGCAGCACAACGGATTGCGCACCGGATTTAGAGGATCGCGGGTTTTTACACGTTCCCAAGCATGCCTCGAGTTCCGAAGTCCCGACAGATCAATCCCGAGGATTTCTGCAGGAAGGAGAGAGGGAGAGAGAGAGACAGAGCGAGCGAGAGCGAGAGAGCGAGAGACAGTCCACGCTCCACAAATATTGCTGGGACAAGGGCCAAGTGCTGGCTGTCGCTCGTCCGGGTTGATTAGGGGGTTCTGAGTTTTGGTCTTTGAGCCATCCGTCGCTAGTCAGTCTAGCAGTGTTGATCAATATCCCAGCATCGCCCGCTCTGAGTTTGGGTCTTCAGCCCCTCAGCAGGGCGCGCGCGCGCGTGTGTGTGTGTGTGTGTGTTTGTGTGTGTAGATGGTTGTGCATTGTGCATATATATATAGATATATATATAGATATGTGCAGTTTTATCTTTATTTGTATATATGTATATATACACATACATATTATATGTATATGCATATGTATATACAAATATGTAACATATACACTTATGCGACAGGTACATGTATATGTATACATATGTAGACATGTAGCGCTTATTTGTGCTGTAAAAGTATTTCCGCAATTTAGTTGCTTGTTTGTTGTTTTCTGTCTCTAGGCTTGTAGATCCCGAAGTAGTGATCGCAGACGAAGCCCGAACACTCCAAGCTCTAAAGAACTGAGCCCTAAACCCTAGGTGAGCCTAGAACCAAGAGCTTTGGGCTTGGCCGGGGTCACGAGCATCTGTGTAGCTTCGCGTCGTCGGCCTGGGAATTGGGATGCCCTAACGGTGATCCGAATGTGCAGCTAACAAGTTGTATCTAGGGGAAATAGGGCTTGGCTCACGGACCGTAGACCATTAAATTTGGGGCATAGGGTGTCGTGTAACTCGAACAGCCCACTTTGCGGTTAATGCTTTCCTGTTAGTGGGCCTTAAGGGAGGTCGATGGTCACTCTAGGTATCCCAACTGAAACGTCTAAATCCACAACTCGATTGCTCTGTGCCTGCTGTTGTGCTTTGCAGAAGCTTCCATCGCCGGAGCACGATTTTGTGGGGCTCGAGCATCGGACCAACACGCTGCCTGAAGTTGCGCGGAGATGTTCAAGACGGCAAGCATCGTTGGGACCTTCCTTTTGGCTCTGCCCAGAGCAGATGCCACTTGCCTTGCAGACAACAAGCTAAAGCTTAAGAGTTGTGGCGTCCATTGCTCAGGAAGCATGGACAGGGTGGTCTGTGTTTCGAATTGCCTTCAAAAGCAAGATGTGGTGGCTTCCTGCGCGGACTGCCTCGGGTCCGAGTTTGACTGCGGCAGCCGTTTCTGTGCCAACGCATGTGAAGGTGGGCACAGAAGCGGAGCCTGTGATTCGTGTCTGCATGCTCAGTGCACCATGTGCAGCACGGAACTCGACTTCCAGGCCCACACACCTAACATGGATGATGCCTTGGCTGAAGCAGTCGAGGCTGCCGCGCCACCAGCAGACAATGACACCGCTGCTGTGAAGATGCTTGCAGCAAGGGCTGGCAGCTGCGCATCCAGTGGTGCTCTGATCAGTTCTTGCGGTACTCCTTGCTACCTCACCACCGATCCATCTGGATGCTATGCGAAATGCGCCATGAAGTCGTGCTTCTCTGGCTGCTACGATTGCAGCAGCAAACACTGCTTCGAGTCGTGCAGGCGATCCTTCTCGAGCTATGAATGCGCCACCTGTGTGAGTGGTTTCTGCGGGGGTTGCACGGTCCGGACAGGAATGCAGGACTCCACGATACTCCCTTGAGCCCAGCAGCTGAATCTGCGAATGCAATTAGCTGCAATGTTTAGGGGTGCCAAAGGTGGCAAACGTTCATCGCGGCGAAGCATTGTGGCTCGGGCCCCTGTAGCATAT